TTTGGTTTTGTTTTCTGCATTCACTTGGTTGCTAAAAACTTTTGAAGATTTTCAGTACACTTGATTGTTTGTCAACCCAATCAGAATATCTGTTGGTGCAGTCCAGGAATCTGTGTTTTAACAACTCTCCTCAAGATTGTGTGTGTGAGTGTGTGTGTGCTGGTTTCACAAGCACATTGTCTCTTGTGCCATCCCTCCTGTGTTGGGCTGGGCTCCTGGAGTTTCCTATGCCACCACGTTCTCTTATGTCACTCCCCTCAACTGCTTTTGAGCTGTGCTTATGCATCACAATTCCTGGCCTGTTAATTGTCTCCAGGAAACGTTTTTACTTGGTAAACACGAATCAAACCCCTACCTAATCCTGGGTACTGTACTCCATGTACTGAAGTATCAGAAAAAGAAATCAAACTTCCTCAGACCTCATGGATGGCACAGCATGGGTAGGGATGGGAAGATGGCTGAGGAATATAAAGCATAGTATGTGCTTTATATTATTTTTTCATTTTAACTCTACATGATTAACATTTTATAATGACAACATTGATTTACATCTACCTATGATTAGCCATTAAACTTTCTTTTTTTCTTTCTCTTCTTCTTTCTCTCTCTCCTTCCTTCCTTCCTTCTTCCCTCCCTCACTCCCTCCCTTCCTTTTCTTTCTTCTTTTCTTATATATTTTATGACACAAATATTTTTAGAGTAAGAATTTTGCCAATAAACCAAGAGTTTATTTATTGAAATGTTTATTTATATTGAAATGTCCTTATTTTGCTCTTATTCTTGAAAGATGGATTTGCCAGTCACACACGTCTGCTTTGACATTGCTCTTCCCTGAGCTCTTCAATGATGCTCTCCTCTGGTTGCTGTGGGTGATGAGGCTAAGTCAGCTACATTCTAACACAGTTGCTTTTCAGATAATCTGTGTTTCTTCTGTGGCTACCTTTAAGATCACCAGTTGTCTTTAGCATCTGACACTCCAGGGCAGTATGAGTAGATGTTGTTCTCTTTCATTCACAGGGTTATGCATACATTTGCTTAGTCTTTAATCATAATCACTTTATGGAATGCCTCCTTCCATTTACTCTCTGTCCCTCTTCTAAAACTTTAGCTAATGTTAAACTTTATTCAGCCACCATATTTACTGTGAAACCCAGATGAATAACCTCACAAATATATCCAAACCCTAAGCCTCGGAACTTTTAAATATGTTACCTTA